TAAAATGCATAGAATCAGGGCTTCGAACCGGAACCGGATCCAACCGCAAATCCGAAACAGAACAAAACAAATATTTTTACAGGTACGCAAACCGGAACAGAACCGCTTTGTTTTTTTCTTTTGAACTCAAACTAAAACCGATACGGAAAAAATTATGATTCGATCAGGGCTTCGGATCAGAGCAGAAACGAGAATCGAAAAAAAACCGATATTTTTGCAGGAACGAAAACCGGAACCGAACCAATATATTTTTTGTTTCTTTAAACCAATTCCGGTTCGAAGTCCTGCATACAACTTATATATGTGAATTGGCCACCGAGATTATGCGATTTGCCACCATTCAACTTTTTTTGAGACTATGTAAAGGATTGTGTTTATGTGGACAACCCTTCAACTCTCGCCACTTTAAAGACGAATATCTGTTACACATTAGTTGTTATTGCTTGCTAAGTGCCCATAAATCAGTACTGTGAGACGTCCGCTTATAAACATTTAAATGTTATTGTGACTCACACTTAATAATGAAGTCAAGTTAATATATTGAAATAAAAATTTGATCGAAATGTAGTCTATATATATACGTTTACTTTCAAAACCATAAAACGGTTAATCTTTTACATCTACTATATCATCAAATATAGTAGATGTAGCAGATACTATATAGGACTGTTTAGCCCGCTCTGATGCCTCCCTAGATGCGTCACTGGCGGTACCAGTTTATATTACCCTGGAGACCATTAAAAGAAGTACCTTCCTCTACTTTCTGTAACTTCCCAATAACAGATGGAAAGCACTTAGGTCATGTGCAACTTCCAGGTTAACATGGCCCACCTTTAACAAAAATAAATCCTCGGAACTCATCAAAAGAGATCGTGTGAACACTGCAAGGCTTACTGCAGTTCTTACTGGTCATTGGTGTGTAGGAACTCACGCAGAGAAACTGCGTATTCCTCATAACTCTCACTGCAGAAGTTGTGGAAACCAGCAGGAGAAAGAAACAATAATACATTTTCTCTGTCAATGCCCGGCTTTAGCGTCCAGAAGATATAGGTTCTTGGAAAATACTTTTGTGATAGTTTATCAGACTACTCAACGATGAAGATGAAAGACCTATTAAATTACCTAAATTCGGATGGATGGATTTAGTCTCTACTCTTCTATACTAGGGTTCTTGCGAGGAATGTGGTATCAAAACAGCGAAAAATCGCTAATTGAGGTACATTTGAAGTTACCTAATGGCCTGCCACTGCAACCAACCAACCAACCAGATACTATATATCAAATTAACTCCTATGAAATTTAGTAAAGATATAATTTTTATTATATTGTAATGCATTTATTTTATAATATACTCGTATAAAGCGTAGATTAGTTTGGGTAGTATCTTCATGACGTTTTTTGAATGAGAGCTAATTAAATTTAGAATTTTTTAAAAATCCAATAAGTTTTCTAAAAAAAATTCATCGAATTGCAGGTTATTCAGTAATATACATATACAAGCTTCGATTATTTTAAAATATAATTTTCACAAGCGACATCGCTTGGCAAATTTTCCTTTTTTATTGATTATCTTAGCAGTTCTAAAAAAGGCCATCAATATTTCAAAGGCCACAAACAGACTTTTTGTATCTGGGCGAAGTTTTTCTTGTTCTTGCCTTCAAAATTCAAGGTACATGATTTTAATCACGATCTTTGTTCGACCACTTTTTTTTAAACTGTTTCTCTGTTCTCAGATTTGCCAGTACGGCATCAGATTATTGTCTCAGTGTCACAAACTCCTGCAGTTACAGTGCTTTTTTGCCCTTCTCTAATCCTTTAAATCCTGGCTCCCCGCTCCAGTTTCAAATGCTTCAATGACAGTAAATAAATTTTACCCCCGGGGATAATCGACGAAATACTCGATACGAAATTTGTAATACAAGCCGATGTAATCATGAGAAACCCCTTGGTAGCGATGAATGGTTGGGCGGAGGGTAATGGCAATGTTGGCGGAATAAGAAAATTACAGAGGTTAGGTTGTTAGGTGTATTATTCGAAGTGAGATTCAATTGCTTTTTAATCGATTCAATTTAGAAATAAATTGCTTAAATTTTTTTTGATATAATATTTAATACATAAAAAGGATATTGTGATGTAAAATTAATTCTCTCGGTTTTTCTATATGAATAAAAATTATTAAATTGGAATTATCAAAACTAGAAACCAAAAATTGTTTACGGTTAATTTTTTAATATTCATTAAATAATAATGCACGCGGAGCTGAAATGTTTGATAACTTTGGCCCTTGAAAGGTGATAAGTTGTATGGCTTTCTCAATCCATAGTTTCACATCTCAAATTCTTGAATTGACAATGCGTTAAAGATAATATATCTTATGTAAAAGGTTTTCATTCCCTTTACTGCTCGATCAAGAAAAAAAATTTGTGGTCTATTCTATATAACATGTAAATCTAA